CGCCCCCCCACCCGCATGTCGCATGCCATACAATTTGTACTTGTTCCTTTGCTGGTGTCACATTTCTAGTGACCTTTTAAACAAAGGAATTGACAGGGTTTTCACGTTATGGCTAATACTGAGTAAATGTAACCTGCTCTTTTTATTTGCTCTTGGTGGGCTCTGGGAGATTATGTATCATATCTTGCCTTTATGCACAGAACATAATTGACTTCATTTGAAAACCATCTCTTTGGCTCTCTTTTCCTCATAAGTGAATGTTCCTTACTGACTGGTAGATGCAACTTCAGTTAAGTTATCAGCAGAGTGATTCTTTTTGCATTTAGGAATTAAATTTCTTCTGATTCACAGTTTTGTTTTGTCCCCCCTCACCCCTTGCAGAATTCATCTAGGGGGTCTTGCCTCATAGCTGGGTGCTGCTACTAGAAACATGCGTTGTGACCTAAGGATTGCTCATGAGAATGGATAAACACTATGCCAACAGTTCTGCAAACAAGATGTCACTTTTCTCATTGCTTAACTTGGTCCAGTTGACTCCTTTCCCATGCATTCAGCTCTGTGCTCAGCCTGAAGCATTAAGTTATTGGGTGCATCTACACGTTGCTGTGCTTTTAGTACTTCCAAAAGGAAGTAACTGCTCGTACTGCACCGTGCACACGGTGCATAGTTAGATTTCACCACTGTGTCGCCATAGCGGCGCAGTAAAACAGAGGAGCGCACCACTATGCCAATGTAGTGTATGCCCATCGTGTGTAGACCCACGTGGTTGCTACGTTATCATAGCTTGCCATACAGCATCGTAGTGCATCACAGTGACGTACTGTGTAGGATAATGTGTAAATGCCCTCATTATGTCTTAAAAGCCCTAAGAATTTCTTGGTGTGATCAACTGAAACACGAGTCAAAGTTGTCTTCTGTTTTTGTTGCTCTTGTTTGCTTGTTTTTTCTGGAGGAGGAAAAGGCTACACCCATACCTCCGCAGGCCTTTTGGATTGAAAGTTTGACTACTTTTTATTTCATGCATCTCATTACGTCCCTGTAGTTTTTATCTTTGCTTTTAAACCTGAACCATTTTCCGCCCCCCCCCCCCCAAAACCAAACCATCCTCCCCCCCCCCCCCCCCCCCTACAATTATGAGATCATTAAGGGGATTTATAATGGCTTCATGTTGAAGATGGAGTTTCGTTTGGAATTAAATGCATCTTAATATTTTTTTAAACATATGCAAAATATGTCTTCTGACAGGTTGGAGTGTGCTACAATATCGACTGTATTCCAGAAATTCTTTGGTTTGATATTCCCTGCATTTACTGTGGCCTCCGGTCATGTTCTGAATCTGGTTCCTTGTGACCTTCAGAATTTCCTTCCTTTCTTTGCATCGTAGGGGGTTACCAGGTTTGCTAGAGGTTGGAATGTTTAACACGGTGTCAAGTGAAGAAGTAGCAGGCTCATTACATAATATACAGTATAACCTCATAAATTGGGAATTCTCGAAAACCCGGCACTTTTTAAAAATACACTGCATCGGGGAGCAGTGGAGGGGGAAGCTTGCACGTGGCAGCTGCTAGTGCCATCCAGCACCCCACCCCGGCTCTGCGACCGGCCGCCGCTCCGGTTTAAAAAATCCGGAATTTTCAAATTTCCAGCAGGTGCTCACTCCCGAGCATGCCAGATTTATGAGGTTGTACTGTATTACAAAATTGGCCATTTTAATAATTTGGTAAGTACACATGGCAAATATAGTTAATAGACTTTTTATATCTATATAAGAACCCCATTGTACAAACACTGAGTTCACTGAATAATTCCATTGAAGTGCACATGTGGCTGCTTCTGGTGGTATTACAGATCATGCCAAGCCAGCAGCTCTGTGTGCGCGCGCCTAATGAAGCTCAGTGAAAAATGTGGGTAGTAAATGTATACTTCTCTACTGAATACCTTACATTTTAGTGATTCCTTAACCAAGTAACCTAAATGAATGCGTTTAATTGCATATGGACCATTTGGTGACAGAAAAGGGAGATCCACTGAGGAAATCTCACAGGATTTATTCTTTTAGAATGAGTACCCAAAATTGCAGTCTCCAAACCTTACTGACTACTCTTGGAAACTACTAACTTTATAATGGTCCATGGAAACAATGTGCCTGCAGCTGTATGTGGCATAGCTCTGTGGAGTTACTGCTCTCAGCTGGGAGCTACTTGGGTAGCAACCTTGTCTTGGCACTGGTCTGTAAAACCCTTTACCTTGCTGTTGGTATATAGCAGTGGTGCCCAGCCTTTTTGCCCTGTGGGACAGATGGACCACAGGCCAGATGGAGAGGGCAGTGAGGAGGGGGCCTGATCCAGCTGGGGTGGGAGGGGTGTCGGGGAGAGGTCTAGCTCCAATATGGCTGTGCCATGGGAAAGGAGCATGGCCTTGCTGTGGGATGAAGAGGGGGCGGGGCATGGCCTGGCCCTGATGTGGCTGGATGGGGGTGCAGATTGGCCCAGGCTCAATCTGACCACGTGGGGGTGTGTGGGGCCCGGCTCCAATCTGATTACACGGGGGCAAGGGGGTGTGGCTTGGCCCCTATCCTGCACCACCAGTCTTAGGAATTTGGCGGGCGGGGAGGAGGTTGGGGTTGCAGCATTACTTATCACTGCTCCCCCACCACCACCACTTTTTTTTTTTTTTTTTTTGAGCCATGGGGAGCCCTGTGGGCTCTGCAGGCCACATTTGGCTTGCAGTCCAGAGGTTAAGCACCCCTGGTGTATATGAATAAGTAATGCACATGGTCGTAACATAGGGCACTTAAATGCATCACAGCCAATGAGTCAGTTCAACAAAGAAGAGCAATACAATGTATGTTTCAGCAGATGAGTAATGTGGAAGGAAATGCAAATGTACTTGAAATGGAAGTGGAAGATAAATTCACTTTCACAGCACCTCTCTCATGCTGTTAAAATGCAGCCTTACTTTATTTTAAGTGATGCCTGAAGTGTTGTTATCTCCATCAAGGAAGAACAAGCATCCTTTTATCACTTCTGATCCTGTGAACGAGAGAACGCTGAGTGGCTCTATTTTGAGACCTTGTTAACTTATTTTGGGCCTATACTTAAGTTTGCCATGAGCAAAAAATTTCAGGTCATTTTTTGTATCTTGTCCATCTAAGAGCCTGAGATCCTCACATTTAATTTCTCTCTGTCTCTCTCGTGTACCTTGGTGAGAATAATGTTTTCTTTGCTCAGATATTTATACCCACAGTACTTTCTTGCCTTACACTTAGAATTAAGCTGTTGTTTAGTGAGAGGATTGGATGTGATCTCTTTCCCAAGGGAAAGGTTGGTACACTTCAGTTCCTACCCATGTTTCAGAGAAAAAGTTCTGTGTCACCACTTAACAAATACTACCACTGATTAACCATCCACTACCCACTCAGTGTCTTTCAAACCCTGTTGCCTCTGCACTAGCTACAGAGCTTTGTTCTTGGTTTTAGAAACTATTTGGATTGTATTTCCAGGTTTTTTCTTTTTCCCAAGTGGGGTGAAGTTTAAGCAGTTTCCTCTTTCATTTAGAAACAGGTAAACTTCCAAACCACAAAGTTTTGTGAGTAATGACTGACTCACCCAGGGGATTAGCAAAGATCAAACACATTATGTCTGGTTTACTTGGACGTGGGTTTGTTGCAAGCCTGAACATACTGTTTCTTGTACTGGTTAAATTGTGTTAAGCTGCCTTGTGTATGCAGTATTCCCTCATGAGCTAGTGGTCTATTGGCAATGTCAACGGTTTAGAAGTTGGTTTGTTCCTTGGCTATAAGTTAGCAAAGGGGGCAAAACTAATTCATCTATAATGAAAGTTCTTGTTAACGTTTCCGCTTGTTAACCAAGGCTGGGCTCCTACCAAGGGGCCAACAGCTGTCCTAGTGATCATTATTGCAGCTTTCACTCTCCCATGTAATCATCTGTGAGCATGGCATGCTGAAACCTCAGGTTCTCACGGCGCTCATCTTGTGCAGGGAATTTAATAGCGAAAGGAGGATACGTTTTCTGCTGAATGCTCAGCAGCAGCAGCCAGATAAGTCAAAGTGCTCATTCTCTTCTTGTTCTGTGAGCAACAGTATGCTACAGAGAGCAGTGATCCTTTAGATAGTGCTTTTGCTGCTCTTCTGGGACTGCCTTGTTTGCCGTGTAGGGTAACTCCTGTGTCAGAAGCCCTCTGTGTAAAAGCTTTTGCTAGCTGAAAAACACCCAACAATCCCTGCAAGGAAGGATCTAACAAACATTTGATTGCATTCAGTCCCTTGTGAGCCTCTTATCGTTCCTTGCTCTTTACTTTCCCTGTTGTCAGGGAAGCTATACGTTTTGCTCATATAAAGCGACTGTAGTTCTCTAACACATCTGAAAATGGTCTGCAAAGGGATTAATAAAAAAAATGCCAACCCACAGGCTGTCTCAGACATCTAACTCAATGAAGCCTGTGCCCTGTATCCTGCCTTTAGGAAAACAGCAGAGTAGTTAGACTCTGTGTTTACTTGTTTTGAATCCCAATGAGGCAGCATGTGACTCTGATTCAGTGATATTCTTTGGAAACATCAGGACACTGAATTGGGATCCAGATGCAGATTTACAAGTTTGACTGTGACTGGGATAACTTCAGTTTGTTTGCATTTGCTGATTTACTAGAGACACAGCAATTTTTGAACTCAATTAAAAGCCACATTTATTACACCCGGTTTAATTGCTCTTAATGGCACACCCCTATAAATCACTTTGTCTTTGGCAGCACGTTTCTCAAGGCAGAATTGCAGCTGAGCCCTGGGGCACACTAGTCCTATTAGTTGCATACGGGGCTGTTGTACCATTTGTGGACCATATTAAACTGCTGAGTCTGAACCCCGTAAAGGGGTCAGTAGTCTTAAATGGTGTAGGTGTCACAGAGGCTAGTGGATAAGGGCCCACACTGTGACAGCCTGCAGATGTGATTGTGTTCTTAGCTTGTCCTTGTTCTCTGACACTGTGGAATTGGGTTCACTTAGGGCTGCTTTCCAGGCTCTGAAAGCAGGGCAGGTAACCCCATATGTGTAATGCACTTATGAAAAATAGTTCACTATTAGTACTAGTAATTCATTAGTAGTACATATATTTTTAGATTCCAGTGTAAATTAGCAGCTGGCCCCCAGAGAATGGGTATACACTAGCCATAGGTTGACCTGCCCTGCTAAGAAACATGAGATCTTAGGCACATTCTGCTCAGGGCCCCTAGTGATTTTTGGCTCACTGAGCTCTTGATGCAGGTATTCTTCAGTGGGATCTAACCAATGTCAGTTCAACACTGTTGTCATATATATTATAGTTTCTAGGTATGAATGCTTCCAGGGAAATGAAAGTCTAGCTCACTTTGATTTTGATTGTTTTATAATACACCAACACACTAACCTTTTTTTTTTTTGTAAATCCAGGTCTGGCTAGTATGGTTGGATAGCTTGGGTGGTATTTGTAGCTCTGGAAGACTCAAGAACACATCTTATAATTCAGAGTACAAGTTTCATTGAAGCTTTATTTCAGTGAAGTTCCTACCTTGCCGCTGCAGTTCTTGTGTGATTTTTTTTTTTTTTTTTTTTCCCCCCCCCCACGAGTTGCTGCTATCATGTCTTTGGATGTGCCAGTGTGGGTGTGTCTTTGTATTCGCTATTTAAATCTACTTGTACTTTTGCTTTTTGGAAGCATTTAGTAAATTTGGGGGCATGTGCTATCCTGTTTGAAAGCAAGAGAACCACCACAACTTGGGATTGGACAAAAGAAGGGAGAATAAAAGTGTGTGCGGAGGCAACAGTACAGTTCTTCGAGGGTTAACGTTCCTCATTTGTTCCGGTATCCAGAGTAAAAAGGGTCTTTTCTGGATCCTTGTGCTAAACTTATGTTCTCCCTTGCTTTGGTTCACCAGTACAATTGATATTTGTCTGAACCCCTGGTGTTCACTCACTGTGATGTTTCCTTCTTCTCTTTAGGCCTGGTGTGATCACCATGCAGGCACTTTCTGAAGAGGACCGACGGCTTTGGATGGAGGCTATGGATGGCCGAGAACCAGTAAGAGGGATATTAATAAATAATTGATGGGGAAAAACTTAGAGACTCTTTTCATAGCTTCAGGCAAATTGTTTGCTGTGATGTAGCATGTTGCACTGGGTCTGCCATCCTCTGTGAGAACTGTATCTGTGGGGCAGCTCCAGCTCCGGTTCTGGCAAGCGACTCTGTTAATCTTTTGGTTAAATATATGAGGTAATGCTCTATCTCCTGTGCTTGGATTGCTCAAAGGTGCTGGCTGCATCTCTTTCCAAGGAAAGGGGGGAAAAATGCGGGCAATGCCAGCACAAACATGCTCCTGTGCTGTTGCATTGTATTAACAGGAAAATACAGCAAAAGAGACCAAAGGAGGAAAAGACAGGGTGCTATACACACAGCTTTCTGGAACGTGCTGTGCTGCTAGTTGGCACCTTTTAGTTGTGTAGTGGCAAACACTTCCTGCCATTTGGATCTGCATGAGTGGGTCCATTCAGGTTTAGACCTGTTGAAATGATCAGTCAGGCACAGGCACTAGAGCTCCCCTCTCAGGGGATTCAGTGATGGGATTAGGCTTTGGGCTATACACATCTCTTGTCAGAGATTTGGGTCTCCTGTTTGTGGAGTGCTACCCATGGAAATGGTCCCATACAATAATGAGCAATACTGGACAGTTCAGATTAGTCAAGGTGCCCATTGGTTTAGGACAGCCATTAATCTAGCACATTAACCAATGAAGATCATTGCTATGGAGATGCAATGCCTTTTGGCTTAAAAGTGGCTTTTCATGCCCAGTTCTGGCACTCTCTCCTACTGTAATACTATGCTGAATTGTAATCCTAAAGCATTAATGATGAAAATGCTCAATGTTGTCCTGTATCCACCATCTTATACCTCCCAGAACTTGTACAAAATTGGGCCCTTTAGTTTTGTCTTACAACACAAGGATGTCGGATAGAAATCTTGCTTCACAGAAGTTGGCTTTGTACAGTAAATAAGAATGTAACCCTCATACTCCTGGAACTGTGTATTGCATATACTGAATGAAACTCTTAGAAACTTACTGCTCTAGAAAATAGCAGATCTTGCTTCCAGGATCCTTGTTTATTGGAGTGTTTAACATAGGATAGGCATGCTAACATCTGTAATTCCTTGTAGAAATGCATAGGTTCAGAGAATAACACTAAAATGGATTCGGTGGCTTGAATCATTGTACTCATTGCACAATTGTAGAACAAAATGATGATGTGCTGCTGTTTCAGTCAGGACTAAGCATGGAATGTGAGGAGAGAGCCAAGATGCTTGTCACAAATTGAAAAGGTTGGCACACTGCTGCCTTACCTCCTAGCAGTGAGAGCAGCAGTTGGATTGAGACAACCTCCATCTGTATGTCTTGTGATTTTATTTTTTATTTTTTTTAATTTTTTTGCACAGCTAATTGTAGCAGTCAGTTTCCTTTGGTTTATATAACTTTGGGGCTAGAAATGGGGGTAGTCTTAATTCTTTTCCAGAGCAGTTTCACTGGCTTTTCTTCAAAATGTTCAGCATGCTCATTTAGTAGCTCTTCCCCAGCGTTCTGGTATTTAAAGACCAATGTTCTGGTATTTAAATGAATTGATTGAGAGGAGGGGAGATTCCCAAGTTTGTGCTTATTTATCACAGACTGAGTCAAGGGTAACATTTGTGTTTGCTCAGAGAAGTGACTGCGGTAGGTTGTGGGATTAAGAGAGGCACAAATTAGGTTGTTTGCTTTGTGGCAAAGAACTGAACAAGATAAGCATTTGAGTAAGATTGTGGCTTTGCTTGCCAAGTCCTGTAGTAAGCATGCCAGCCAGAAGAGAGATCCCAGTGTCAGCAGTACCTTGTTATTCTTTTCCAAAACATGCTCACGATCAGACACCTAGAGATGATCTTCACAGAAATGCACGCTAAAATATGCAGAAAAGTCTTCGGAAGGCATGGGAACTTGAGGTTTTAAAAACATCATTTTAAGGAAAATGAGCGTAGTCCAGTGGCATAATGTAAGGTTAGGAGTGGAGAAGCATCATCCTAGCTGAGCAGCATTCATTCATTGCGTGGCCTACCCACTTAGTTAGAAATGGCTGTTTATATAAAGGAAGACAAAACTTCCTGTAATCTTGGCAGAAAAAATATGGTATGGATGGGATCTGAGCAGAGCCCTTCTGGTAGTTACTGGCCCTTTAAAAAGAAAAAAAAAGTATAAATAAGACAAGTAAAAACCCACTGAAATATTTTTCAAGTGGTCATTTCAAATGGGAGTTGTCTCTGTTGATGCTGTAAACTGTCTCCTCTGTTCTGCCGAGGCAGTTGATGCCAGTCCTTCTCTTGTGGTTTTTCTCATGTAGTGTATCCAAATTGAATTATAAAACCAGGTCTATTTGCATCATTTTGTCTTTGGACGGGCAAAAGTTGGAAAGGCTTGTTCCTTTCTGAGAAGCTTCTAAAAGTTTGCTAATGTGAGGGGTAGAGAGAACCCAGAATAGCGAGTGGAGACTATAGGGCCATATAATACAATGGGAAGCTACTCTTCTGATCATCAGCTGGCTTCTGTGCACACTTGCGGTCACTTTATTCAGGATTCAAGTGCAGGTCCCATTTGCCAGTTCATCAGTGGTTGGGGTTGACCTGATGGAGGCTCATAGGCTTTATTCCATTCTAAACTGAGCTACTTATGAAGATCGGTTTCCTCTTTGGACCAAGTCGACCCAGCTCCCTCAATCCTAATAGCTACAGATTGCTGCGCTGAGATTGTTGGATCTGTCTTTCAAGAACCCAACATCATAAAGAGCCTGCCAGGTCAGTCCTATGTGACACTCCAGTGCATGTATAAGCATGTATAAATCCTGTTTAGTGCCTGATCCTGCATGTAGCCGAGTGCTCTATAAATGCTGGGAAGTCGAGAGGAGCTGAGAGGAGACCACTAGGCCTGTTGCAGGGATCATGGAGGGCTTGATATTACTGGGAGATGCTTAGCTGCTACAGCTCCACAGGAGCACGTTCATAGGAACAGGTAGCATAAGTTACCCTCTCTCTGGAATCTGTTAGCTAGGATTACAGCTAAGTGTATGCAAGATCCACTCTGATTTTATTTTGTCCTCCTCAGAATAAGTGGTTCATGTTAATTCTCTCTCTCTCTTTACATTTGTAGCCCTGGAAGCCAATCCTAGCTTTTACTGATGTCATTTAACCAGGCCTGCTAATGGCACCTCAGTCTGCTTAGTGTAGTCGTAGTTCTGCTCCATAAAACTCGCTTTCCCTTTTGTTTGTTAAACTTATTCTTTTATGTCTACTTGCCTGTGGGCTGAGGCAGTAGATGGAAAGGGTAATGAGGGACACACTTAATTCTCCCAGGGGTTTAAGTGGCCTGCTCAGCAGAGTGATCTATTCCTTTTGAGCTTGCTCTGTCCAGAGCCTGGAAACAACAGGCTATACAAATGCTGCAGGAGGTTGTCTTGTACATAACAGGAGGCTTTGTCACGAAGACAATGTGAGCTGGATGCCATGTTACTCGCGCAGCACTTGGAAAGAAGGGCATGTAGGGGGTGTGATGCTGCGGGAGGGGCTCTCCACCAGACCCACGCGAAATGGAGGAAGATGGGTGTGGCGAGCTGTTATGTGGGCTGTTGACCACTAGATGGCAAGCTGAGACCAACGGGCTCATTGCACTTGTGCCCTGAAATACTAGAGCTCTGCTCTGCAGCAGAGGAACTATGTAGTAATGTTCTACTTTTAAAGCAGCGGCGATGTTCCCCTCTCTTTTCAGTGGCGTTCTTCTTTGCTGTATGAAGAGGAGACACACAAGTGCCCTGTGGCCTAAAGTGATAAGATGGAGACCTCGCCAGCTATCCTGCGGTTAATCCTCGGGATCTCCCTCCCCGTGCCAAGAGTGGCTTGGCATGCTTAGGGAGGCAGCTTGCCCATCTGGGGCAGGGGAAGGGAAGAGGAGCGCCTCTCTCCACTCTGCTCTGGTCCCTTTCACCGCTAGCATGGTGAAGGCTTTCAGTACAGAGTGCATTTTTGTTCAATTTTTTTTCCAAGTGAACTTGGGCCCTTGGACTGTTTTGAACAGTTGGTAGCTCTGTCCCACTGCTCCAGCTCCTGGAGACTTGAGCATATGCTCTGAACAGCTCCCAGAGAGACCCTGCCACGTGGAAGAAAGTTGGGGTCTCCCCTGTGAGCAGCGCACACCTGACTTTTTTTTTTTTTTTCTTTTTCAGCGGGGCAGAGCACCGGTGACTTGTGTTGTGCAGGGCAGGGAGCCCATCAATTTGGATTCCTTTGTCTCATTCTTTACCTCCCTTTGCAGCTGAGTCTGCCCCCGCTCTTTTCAGGGGTGCTCGTTGCACTCTGCACTCCTCCCTCCTTCCCCTCCACCCCATTTTAATCTATTTTTAACTCTTCTGTTTTTAGTGCTGAAACATTCTTGCCCCTTCCCTGCTGTTCCTCATCACATCCAAACTGCAGCAGTTCAAATCCATCTTCTTCAGCAGAGGTGTCAAAAGCAGCACCCCCCACCCCTCCTCCCCTTTAGTGTTGAAAGTAAAGCACACTCTAAGAAGAACATTGCTTCTCTGCTCCTGCCATGTTGTTATAGGGGCCTCTAGCAATTTTCAAGCCAGGTGGAATTTTTTAATTAAGCTGAATTGGAAATGCCCTGTGAACTGCAAGCCCCTTCTTCCTCTTGTCCTTTTAGCTGCTTCCCCTAGTGCCTGAAGGGCTTTTTCTTTCTTCTCTTTCTGTTTCTCCCCCTTGCTTTTCCTTTTCCTCACTATTTCCTTTTGCATGTGAGACTGGCTTGTTGCAGGGAGGGGAGGATGTTCAAAGCACAGAGTTTACCCAGTGATAATAAGCTGCTTTTGAGCCCCCTTCTGCAGAACCTTCCCCTCGCATCTGTTCAGAGCGGCGCAGAGAGCTGTGCTCTGTGGATTCGGTCGCTGGGCTTCCACGTTACCATGGCGATCTGCTCTGACCATATTAATAAATCTCAACCTCTCTCCAGGCTCGAG